GGGGGGGCCTGGAGAGCTCTCTCGGCCCTCAGGCACCTTACCTCCTCTTCTAGCAGGGTCACCAGCTTGCACTGAGAGCAAGTGTATCCCTGCCTCTCCTGGGGGAGAAGGGCGAACATGTTGCAGCTCTCGTAGCGGACAGCAACACCCGTGACTCCTGCCAAGGCCATCTCCTGGTCTGTCATCGGTATCCCTTCCGAGACCTTACCTTGGTCCCCTGCCTTGTTTGTCCTGCAGTTCCTCTCACTCGCCCAGTTCTCCCAGACAAAAACCCACTCGCACACACACACAAGGATAAAATAAACTTAAATTGGAAGAAAAACAAAGCACAGCACAGCACAGCACAAACAAAAACAAACAATCAAACCTCTGTGTCTCAGGGAAGGGAGTCTCCGGACAGCCCGGGCCGCAGCTAAGGGACGCAGACAAGGGACGACGCCTTATCAGTCCCTCAGGCCGGTGGCCCCCACATTTAAATGTGGATGAGGGGGCTGACCTGGCATGTATAATGCAGACATGGGCGGGAGGGGGCGAGATGTCTCCCTCACTCAACTCCGCCCATCTGGATATCTAATGCAGCACAGAGGGGAGGGGGGTTGCTCTGCTTTACCAAGACTCAGTTTCCCTTGTGGGACTTCCTGTCCCTTCGAGACCGGGCCTAGAGGTTTTGTACCTGTTGGGTGACTGAGACAGATTAGGGATTCTGCTGGTGTACCATCTACCCTCCTGCCCATCAGACTCCCTGCCTGAGCTGACGGATCATCTCGGACCTGGTTTTGAGGACCCCCAGGATGTTGGTCCTGGGAGACTTTAATTTCCATGCCGAGGTTGTTCTGTCTGGGGCGGTTCAGGACTTCATGGCTTCCATGGCAGCCTTGGGACTGTCTCAACATGTTATTGGCCCAACCCATGAAAGAGGTCACACTCTGGATCTGGTTTTCTCAATGGGGCAGGAAGAGGGTGATCTGGAAGTGAGGAATCTGACCTTAACTCCTTTGTCATGGTCAGATCACTTTATTTATTTATTTAAAGCATTTTTATGCTGCCCCCATCGCAACAAAGCCTTGGGGTGGTTCACAACAGAAACAAATACATAAATACATAAATAATAACAATATAACAATAAAAATATTATTTAAAAAACCCCGGTGCATCTCGGCTAAAAATTTAAAATCTTATAAATACAAATAATTTAACACTTAAAATAAGTTTTAAATAAAAAGGTCTTAGCCTGGTGCCGAAAAACAAATAACGACGGCGCCAGGCGGACCTTTCTGGGGAGCGCATTCTATAGATGGGGCACCACCGCAGAGAAACCTCACTTCCTTGTGAGGTTTGAGCTTAATGCTGATCTCTCCCTCTAGAAGGGTGTGGACCTTATTCAAATGGCCCTCCCCTGGAGTTTTATGGATGCTGATAGATTCCTGAAGGCTCTGGGGGATTTTCCTGTGGATAAAGCTGGCGTTCCTGTTGATGTCCTGGTCGATTTGTGGAATGGGGAAATGACCAGGGCACTTGACACAATCATTCCTAAGTGTTCTCTCCCATCAGGCAGAGCCCACTCGTCACCATGGTATGCACCAGAATTGCGGGCGATGAAGCAGACTGGGAGACGATTGGAGAGCAGGTGGAGAAAATCACAGGATGAATTTGACCGAACACACTTACATGTTCATTATCAAGCCTACGCTGTGGCGGTGGGGGCAGTGAAGAGGCAATACTTCTCCACTTTCATTGCCTCCTCACAGTGCCATCCAGTGGAGCTTTTTTGAATGGTGCGTGGCCTAACACATGGTGGCCAAAACAAAGAAGTGGTGCCACCCTCAACTGCCTGTTGTGACAACTTTGACCAGCACTTTAAGGAGAAAATTGCTCAGATTCGCCACAAGCTGAACTCCACAATTTATATGATTCCAGAACTGGAGATGTCTAGAGCACCATCTGGTCCATCATTGTTGGATGAGTTTTAGTTATTGTGGACTGAGGAAGTGGACAAGATGCTTGGGATGGTATGCCCAACCACCTGCTTACTCAACTCTTGCCCTTTTTGGCTACTTACAAAAGCCAGTCATGGGATTGGTCCCGGGGTCCAAAAGGTCATCAACGTCTCACTAAAGGAGGGCTGAGTCCCTGCCCCTTTAAAGGAGGCAGTGATCAGGCCCATCCTGAAGAAGGTGTCCCTGGACCCAGAAGAGGCTGCCAATTTTAGACTGGTGGCCAACATCCTGTTCTTAGGCAAGGTGTTGGAGCAGGTGTTGGTGGGACAGCTTCGGGCACTCTTGGATGAAATGGATTATCTGGACTCATTACAGTCCGGCTTCAGACCCAGTCATGGTACTGAATCTGCCCTGGTTGCCCTGTCTGTTGACCTATGCAGGGAGAGGGACAGGGGGAGCGAGTCCCTGTTGGTTCTCCTGGACCTCTCAGCGGCTTTCAATACCATTGACCATGGTATCCTTCTGGATAGGCTGGCTGACTTGGGAGTAGGAGGCACTGCTTGGCATTGGTTCCACTCCTATCTGGCTGGTCGATTCCAGAAGGTGGTGCTGGGGGACTATAGCTCTGCGCCATGGCAGCTATGCCATGGAGTACCGCAGGGCTCCATTTTGTCCCCCATGCTTTTTAATATCTACATGAAACTGTTGGGAGAGTTCATCAGAAGGTTTGGGCTGCGGAGTCATCATATGCTTATGACACCCAGCTCTACCTCTTGTTTACATCTAATCCAGGTGAGTCAGTGGCTGTCCTGAACTGGTGCCTGGCTGAGGTAATGGGCTGGATGAGGGTCAATAAACTGAGACTCAATCCAGATAAGATGAAGGTCCTGTTGGTGGGCAGTTCGTGTTTTCAGGTAAGTGATTTTGGTCCTGTCCTGGATGGGGTAGCACTCCCTCTAAAGGACAGGGTCCACAGCTTGGGAGTGCTACTTGACCTACAGCTGTCTCTAGAAATCCAGGTGACAGTGGTGGCGAGGAGCGCTTTCCTCCAGCTTCAGCTGGTCCATCAGCTGTGTCCTTACCTGGTCGAGCACTGCCTAGCAACAGTGATTCATGCCCTGGTAACTTCCCAGTTGGATTAGTGTAACGTGCTCTACGTAGGGCTACCCTTGAAAATGGTCCGGATACTTCAATTGGTACAAAATAGAGCTGACAGGGACTGGTTGGTATTCTCATATAACGCCCGTCCTTTATCAGCTACACTGGCTCCCAGTTGAAGTCCAGGCCCAATTCAAGGTGCTGTTATTAACCTATAAAGCCCTAAATGGCTTAGGTCCAGAATACCTGAAGGATTGCCTCCTTCCCTACAAGCCCTCATGCCCCTTAAGAGCAGCAATGGAGTCCTTGCTCCAGGAATCCTCTCTGAAGGAAGTATGGAGGGTGTCTACCCGGAGGAGGGCCTTCTCAGTAATGGTGCCGACGTTATACTCTTTCCGGCACCAACACCTTTTTATTTGACCATTATTTTAATTACCAATGGTTTTAGATGCCAATGGTTTTAATTACCAATGGTTTTAGATGAAGAGTTTTACCTTCACAGTTGCATTTTCTATTTTTTTCCTCCTTTTTCTTAAGTTCACGATGTGTTGTATACTGTTTTAATAATTGACGTTTGATATTGTATTTTTATATTTTATATTGTACTTTTGTATTTTGTAAGCCATCCTGAGGGCTTGGCAATAGGATGTGGTATAAAAGTCTGTAATAAATAAATAAATAAATAAATAAATAATAGTTTTAATTAATTTTAATTAATTTTTAATGTGCAGTATGCATAGGAATTCGTCCATTGTTTTTCAAACTATAGTCTGGCCCCCCAACAGTCTGAGGGACAGTGAACTGGCCCCCTGTTTAAAATATTAACATCAAAATTATGGATTACAGAGTGCCATAAAAATATAATAATATGAAAAAGATTGAAATATTGTGAAAATTACTAAAATATGACACAGAAACATGAAGTGAGCAAATGTTTGAAAAATGGCATGAATAGTCTTGCTCAATGGAAGGTTGTCACAAACCTTCAATTTGTAGAAAATGCAATGGCTCTTTGCATGCCTCTGATCTTCAGGAGCTCCCCAGAGATACCTGGTACCAGGCCAGCCCCTTTTTATTTTCCTAGAATTTTAAGGTTTAGATTGAGATTTTAAAGATGCTAATCCATCCTTGGGATATCTTTATTTTCTTCGAAGTTACATTTTTTTTATTTTATGGATTCTCTTGTACATATGAATTTAAATCTGTAAAACTAAAGGACATTGGTCTCCAGGGTCTTCATCAAGTGTCCTGCACATGGAGTCCTGCACTGAGCAAGGGGTTGGACCATCTGGCCCCCTTCTCCTCTGCAATTCTGGAAGGGTAATATCAGGATGTTTCATATGACAGTGAGCTTGGTCTCTGTGCTGATGATGGAGTTGAATCCTTGAGACTTTTTTTTTAAATGTAGTCCACATAGTAAAGAAAATAATAGATTACTTAATCCTGTTATGAGCAAATGATCTAGAAGGTCACTGAAATGGTACATGGAATATTTTCTTGAACAAGCCAGCAGCAGAGATAGTGACTCCTTTTTCCTTTTCCTTTCTCCCTTATAGTAAGTTCTCACAAGATGATTATTCTATATTCACTGTAATTTGGTAGGTATTTTAGATTGTTTTCCCAATCACCTGTTTTAATGAGGGGTTGTTATTGTTTTGTATAATTTTATGGGTCTGTAATTGTACAATAAATTCTGAACTGACATGGTCACCATCCCTTAAAGGTCCTGCCATTTTCACTTCATGGCTCATCTTATGTTCTCCTTCATGGTCTCTGTGCATCACACGCATGGGTCTTGCACTTGTGTAGGGCCTGTTACCAGGCAGATTTCCAAGACAGACTCATTCCAGTGGCAACCCCTCTCCTCCTGCCCCCTGGTATATCTAGGAGGGGTTCCCATCCCCTTTCTCAGTTCCCTTCCAACTGCCATTGTGGGTGCCTTGGAATGTTATTTATCTTCTCTAAGCAGGACTGTTAGGATTCAACAGGCATACTGACATTTCATAGACTCATAGAATAATAGAGATAGTCATGAAGGCCATTGGGTCCAACCCCCTGCTGTTGCAGGACACCAAGTTACACCATCCTACTCTGTTGGCTGTCCAGTTTCTTTTTGAATGTCTCTAGGGTGGGAGAGCCCACCACCTCTCTAGGCAGCTGGTTCCACTGTTGTATTGCTCTGATAGTGAGGAAGCTTTTCCTGATATCTAGACTGACTCTTGGTCGTCGGAGCTTGAATTGATTATTCTGTGTCCTACACTCTGGTATCAGCAAGAAAAGATCTTGACCTTCCTCTTTGTGACAGCCTTTCTTAAATCTTGGTGCCCAGAACTGGACACAGTATTCCAGATGAGGTCTGCCTAGGGAGGAGTATAGAGGAACTACTACTATTATTTGAAAATAATACTTCTGTTAATGAATCCCAAAATAGTATTTGCCCTTTTGGTGGCTGCATCTCATTGTTGGTGCATATTTAGCCTATTGTCCACAATTACTCCTAGGTCTTTTTCAGTTCTTTTGAGCTGCATATTCCCCACCTTGTGTTGATGCATTTGGTTTCTTTTTCCTAGGTGGAGGACTTGGCACTTGTCCTTATTGAATCGCATTCTGATGCTTTCAGCCCAGTGTTCAAGTTTATCAAGATCACCCTGGATTGTCAGTTTGTCTTCTAGGGTGTTTGCTATTCCACCCAGTTTTGTATCATCTTAAAATCTGATCATCTTTCCTTTACTTCCTCATCTAAATCATTAATACAGAACCCTGGGCACTGGGCCCAGGACTAAACCCTGTGGCACCCCACTATTTACCTCCATCCAATGTGAGAAGGTGCCATGGATGAGCACTCTTTGTGTCCAATTTAGCAGCCAATTTTGGATCCACCTAACAGTTTTTCCATCTAGTCCAGTTTTTGCTAATTTGTTTATCAGATTGCCGTGTGATGCTATGTTGAAAGCTTTGCTAGAGGCTAGATAGATTATGTCCACAGTGTTCCCTCTGTCCATTTGGGAGATTACCCAGTCAAAAAATGAGATTAAATTAGTCTGGCAGGTTTTATTTTTGATAAATTCATGCTGTCTTCTGTTAATCACTGCATTTTTTCCAAGTTGCTTGCGGATGGATTTTTAAATAATTTGCTTCAAATTCTTTCCAGGGATTGACTAGGATTTATAGGGCAGGGCATTTGCCATCCCCCCACTCCCTTTCCTGGCAACAGAGGGTATAATGATTCCCCGGGTGGGGCTGTTGGGGTGGTTTCCCTCACTTGTGGGTCACTTCTATCAGTCTCCCCCTTGTTTGCACACTCCTCCTCCCACATTTTGTACATGTCATCCGTTGGAATACCATCTATATCAGCCTTTGACACTCCAGCTTTCAAAAGGTCCATAAACATTTGCTATCGAGGTATTTTCTTGTTCTGTTTCTTGTAGTCACTGTGGTATTTCCTCCCCTCCTTAGCAACTCTAGCCTGAGGCTTGGCATCATTCTCCTTCTGAATGTCTTCCAGCTGGCCTTTTAGCACCACCACCTGCCCTACTGGTGAGCCTTGGGCTGGCCCCAACAATGCCAGCAGGGCACCATGCATGAAGGAGGGAGCCCCCTTCATTAAGTGTGTCCGCATCCCAGCAGTGAGAGGTTGGCTGTCAGGCCCTTGAAACCCCACTTGATATATCCCAGCCTGCATAGCCATTGCTCTTAACTGTGCCATTGCTTCCTTAACAGTATGCCACGAGGGCAGCTGCTCGTCCCAGTCCATGGCAGCTGGATGTTGTTGTTAGTCGCGAAGTCATGTCCGACCCATCACAACCACATGGACAACACTCCTCCAGGCCTTCCTGTCCTCCACCATCTCCCGGAGTCCACCTAAGCTCACACCAATTGCCTCAGTGACTCCATCTAGCCACCTCATCCTCTGCCGTCCCCTTCTTCTTTTGCCATCTATTGTTCCCAGCATTAGGCTCTTCTCCAGGGAGTCCTTCCTTCTCATTAGGTGGCCAAAGTATTTGAGTTTCATCTTCAGTATCTGGCCTTCTAAAGAGCAGTCAGGGTTGATCTCCTCTAGCACTGATCACCTTGTGGTCCAA